AAAAAAATACATCTTCATTTATGAAAGTTTGGTATTTCCCCTCGATTTGTAGGAATGTGAAAAAAAACGTTTCTCAACTTGCTTTTTTATTTAGTTTCAAGCCGTATTTGAGATGGCAGCCCATATAGTAAATATCGGCATTTGGACGCCAGCCAACTGTACTACCGTATCGTACCATTCTAAACGATTTGCCGGCTTGGGTGGCAACGGAATGACCAAGATTATAACTACATATTGTTTTCACGTGTACCATTTGAATTGCGCATGTCCAACTAGTCCTATAATTTTGGGACAGTGCAACTTAGCGTAACGAGATCGCGTCTATCTCTGATTACTCTCATATATAATGTGACCAACAAGCTCACGCATAACAAAACATCAAAGTTTGGCTTGGATTTAATGATCAAATTTATACATTACAAAAAAAGCCATTTTGCCACATTGAATACTTAAATACGTGATCGTTTTTATATGAACATCGCATTATAATTAATTATCATGTATCGTTGTGAACCAACATTCATTGACACTATATATGCTAATTTGTGGGTACTTGTACTCTGGAGCCATTGCGTAATAACTTAAGCTGTATCAATGATTTAGAGAGTGCTTGAAAGATATTTTATTCTGTGCTCTTCAATTTAATGTAGTGGTTGCTTGGAAATGTTTGACTACGTAAACAAAAATGAGCAGCATTCAAAAGCGTAAAAACTGCACAATTCGCGAATATGCAAGTATACTACCAAAAACCGGTTGAGATGAACACGGATAAGTTCCTTCACAGACCAATTAATTTGTAATTTTGTGATCTCGTGATAATAAGTAGAAATGTTGAAATTGAAATTCTAGATTATATATTATGTATTGTCAGATCATTTCCGCTCTAAAAAGAAATATAACAGAACATATAAGATAAAATGTTACAAAACAAAACATCTGGATAGCGTATTTATCCAGACTATAGTTCAAATATACTAACTTTACAATCACTTTTTACGGGGTATATGCAATGAGTATAAGAAAGCTGATAGAAACACAAAACACCAAAAGCCACAACAAACAACAACGTATATATGGTACAAGCCTTGCAAAAAGTGTTACATGGAAATTACCAACTGATTATACATTAATTGTTAACCAGCTAGTGATTTCATTCTCGTATCTCTTTAACCAGTTGATGTTGCTCTGTACATGTTCCAAGGCCTGTTCTCGTCCTCTGGCTCCGGTTCCTGCCTCTGGATACATATCAAAGAAATGTTGCATCTAAAAATAATTAAGAATACAGATATCAATATATATGCAGCACAAACTCGTTCTGAGCAAAACAAATAATTTTACATAGCAAGCTTTGATTCGGTTATTTATAACCCTCTATGATCACGCGGTAACCTCGTTAAAACACAAATGAACTTGGATCCAAAAGTTTTATTTCTAAATACTGAACAAATATTTCTAAGAAAACATTTATAACGAGAGAGACATATAGTGTTATCAATCAAATACTCAATGCAACAACATTTACCTCCTGTAATTGAAGCTCTGTTGTAAAGGTGTTAGTTACTCCAGGAATTAGACGTCCCAGCAGACGATAATTCAAACCAAACCTAACAAGCAAAAAGTAACACATAATGGGCAAGTCGGTAATCGTTTTAGTTTAAGCAGTTTATTTGTTATTTTACTCTGTTAAAGTACTCTGGTTAAACAGTTCATAAATGAAGTCTTGTAAATACAAAAGGGCCACTTACTTACTTCATCGCACACAAACCACCGGTCTGAAAAACTAGATTTAAGCAGCATCTACCCTATCATCAGTATCATGACATTGTCTATGTCCTTAGCACTATATCATTCAAATATGTGGTGAGATAAATTTGATTTTCAAACTGCTTCTCACTTGGAAATTATAATACTATTGTGTTATAGGTCAATATCTGTATATTGCATTGAAAAAAAGAAGACTATTTACTTGTCTACCATTTTCTGCCAATTAACTCTGACCCAGTCCCATACAACTGCAGTAGCTACAGGATTATTGGCAATGTAATTGACGACAGTGAAGAAATCTTGAGATCGTATGATGTTGTCATCCCAAACATAATCCAAATATCTGTCAATTGAAAAAAATTAACGATATTTATAACAAAACAAGTGAGTACTTACTTGAATGTGGCGATCAATGTTTAACTGAATGTACGAGCAAATGTATGCACTCTCACTTGCAGATTTGATGAAAATCACAATATCATTGACAATAGAACCACTAAAGATGTGTACAAAAACAGTCACTATTTCCACCTTGTTCACAAATCATAAATATATCATACTGTATTACCCTAATATTAGCCACATTTGTTGTG